GTAACTCCAGGCTGCAGTCATGTCAGAAGGTGGTGTGAAAAGGGAGCTGGTCAGAAAAGGCCACATACTGCATGGTTCCAACTACAGGACACTGCAAAGGGAGGAGCTACAGACATAGTAAAATAACCCGTGGTTGCATAAGTAGAGCACGGCAGATTTTCAGGGCAGTGAAATGATTCTGTATACTATAAACGTGCACTATAAAGGTGGACACATCATCATACATTTGTCCAAACCCATGGAGTGCTCACCAGCCAGAGTGAAGCTAATGTGAACTATTGACCTCTATTGATCGGTACAGATTCATCACTTATAACAAATCTACCACAGAGTGCAGGATATTAATAATAGGTGAAACTGTGTGGGAAGGGGGCAGGTGGTATATGGGAACTCTGTATTTTCTGCTCAACTTTGTATAAACACAAAACTGGTCTAAAAGAATACTCTATTTTGTTAAAACAAAACAAAGAATCAGAAGCAGCCCAATTAGAAAATGCTCATCACTCCAACTAAAATTGACTGTGGTGATGGATACACACACCGTGAATATACCAAAAGTGTCCACACAATTTACATGGTGAATTGTGAGATATGTGAACTCTTATCTTGATACAGCTAAAAAAAAAAGAATTCCAATTACACTGACACAGTGGGACGTATAAGAAAGTAATCTACAGGATGAGAAGAGGTGGAAAAGCTGGCCCAGGGATGGTGATTCAGCACTTAGTTTTTCTAGAACCCTTCTAGGTATAATGGGTCACTGACATTTTAGAGGATGAACAAATTCTCACGCATAATCTAGAAGTTATGGGAATGTCCAACACGGAGGAGGTAACGCCCAATGGCAGTGCGCAGACTGGGCCTGAGGGGAAGGCCCCAGGAAACGCTACCCCAGAGGAAGCCGGGATGAGGGCCTCCAGGACAGGAGGGGGCATGAGGACCTGAGAATAAGAGGAAGTGGGTGATGGGTGAAAACCAAAGAGATGATGGGAAGAGAGCTGAACCCACATGTGAGAAATGTCCAGATGTTGGCACTGCAACGTGTGGGCAGGACGTGGAGGAACAGGCTGACATGGATGAGCACGTGACCGCCCTGCTAAGATGAGAAGGCAGCAGAGACTACCCACGGAAGCTCCATGCAAACAGCTTCCCTCCTCAGACCAGGGTCCTGTGGAGAGCTCTCTGCCTGTGTGAGCTGACGGGCTGCTAGCCTGCTCTCACCTTGAGTAGGTCCCTGCTCGGCCCTCCATGGGTCTTCCCCGTGCTCCAGCTGGGAGTTCACATCCGGTTTGAAAAGCAGAAGCCCTGGCCAGTGGGGGGGAAACAGAGGATTTGGTGATCTGCTTGGAGAAGAGAACCTTGCCCCTGGGCCCTGGAGTCACACACAGAGGGAGTAGGAGGCCCCAGCGCCATCCCAGGACACAACCTGGTCCCTGAACCACAAGTCACAAGCCTGCCGAGGCTGCACGGGAAGAGCAGCAATGTGTGGGGTCTGCACCTCAAAGGGACCTACTTCAGGAGTGCTTTGGCTGGGCCCAGGCACACCCTTTGAAAGAGCCACAGCTGAGGCCCAGAGAACTCCTGCGAAGGGAGGGAGGGCCTTACCCAGGGAGACTAGGTGGCTGCAGGTCTCCAGAGTCACGTCTCGGTACAGCATCCTCTGGGCCCAGTCCAGCTGCCCCCACTCCTCCCGTGTGAAGGTCACAGCCACGTCCTTGAAGCTCATAAGTGGCTGAAACGTTACACGTGTTACTGTGGAGCCCTGCGTTGCTGACGTTGGGGATGGGGGGATGGGACAGCACAGGGGACAGGGCAGGCATGTGCTGAAGGCTGCTATGGGCGCCCACGGGGCTCCCCCTTCGGCTCGTATCAGGAAGGCAGGCAGGCAGGCAGGCAAGAGGCCATGTGCCCTGGCCTCAGAAGGCAGGCGCAAGCTGCCCCCCTCAGCTTCATGACTTACTAGCTGGACACCTGGATGTGTCCTTGAACTTCTCTGGCACAAGTTGCCCTCACATGACTATGAACACTGGGGTATCTCACAGGACATAAAGGGTGCTGCCCCCTGGCACCCAGGAAGCAAGCAAAGTCAGGGTCGCCCCTCACCCTGCCATGTGCTGCACTGGTAACTGTCCAAGGGTGACTGTGGCACTTCAAGGGGACACTCTTGGCCATCTTCCTGAGTGGTCTCGGTGAGGGTCAAGGGCCCAGTGGCTTCCTGAGTATAGAGGCTGAGCTCCGCCTGCCCTCATGGTCCTGCTCATCAACCGCCACAAAAGGCTGGAACCAGAGACCCAGCCCAAGGGACCAGGTGCAGGAGACCCTGCTGGGCCTGGCCTGGGGGCTCCTGTTCCCCCATTCAGGGAAGGTGCTGTATCTGCCTGGAGTCTCACCTAGGGGCCCAGGGCCACATCACGGGTCTCCTGTGCACTCACCCAAGGAGGTGGGTGCTATTCCTGGCCCGTTTTACATCTGAGAGAACAGAGAGAGCAGAGGCCTTCAGCTCACCGGGGCTGGGGCCAGCCGAGAACATGCTTCCATTTCCTCCTCATACCCGGAGACGCTGTCCCAAAGAGGGCAGGAGTCCTCAGAAGGCAGGGCGGGAGCTGGGGGAACAATCACGGATTCAGCCCCACTTCAGCGTCCCCATGCTCCTGAGCCCACCCCAGCCCCAAAGCAGAGGGCTGGCAGTGCCAGCTGAGGAGACTCTCCTGGGGTGAGAGACGGGGTCCGACACAAGCTGGTGGGAACTGAGATTCTGTGGCCCCGGCCTGGTGATGGCCCCGGGCTGCCCCAGCCTCCAGGAAAATGCCCGGCACGTGCTGCTGCCTCTGGACTGTAAGACCACAGGCACACAACCATCCTCTGACACTCCGATAAGGAGTGGCCAGTCTCTCCTGTCACCAAACAGGAGGAGGAGGAGGCAGAGTGCAAACAACTGCACAATTCAAAAATATCTCAGTGAAGTGCCAGCGGCTCCTAAACATGGGAGTTGGAGGTGTGGGTGGGTACAAGGACAGGGAAGTCCCCAGGATAACAGCGAAGGGCACTCCATGGGAGGTGTCCACCCAAGCCATTCTGGAGGGGCCAGGACGCCACCCCACAGTCTGGGGGGCAGGCCTTGCACCCTCTGCTTTAATTTTGTCACCACTTCCTGTACTCTGCCCAACAGCTTGGCTGCAGTCACGTGACTGTCCCACTGAGACAGCCTGACAAAAATCCTCCCCAGTGCCACCCAATCCTTCCCTACACTCCCCCTGCTCACCCCCTGGTACAAGGGCACACAGGCCCACACGCCATCTCTATGGTTAATGGTCATGGGGGTGACCCAGCATCTCAGAAGCACCCTGCATCTGTGCTTCTGCTCACACCGAACTACCATGCACTCCACTGGGTGGAATCTGTCACTTGCGCGGTGTTTTTCGAGTCACCAAGAACCGGGGACACCTCACCCCTTTGACTCTCGGAACAACTGCTGATTGGACCAGAAGCCCAGGGAGCCAATCCCTCTAAACACTCACTTCTTCCTGGAGGTACTCGCTACACCCCAGCTGTGAACGTCAGTATTTTCCCACCCTTCTCTGTACGACCAGTTCCCCGGAGAACCAGGAATCGGACCTCTTGTGAGGGAAGCTCATGCTCTCTCCGTGCCTTGTGTTTCTGGCAGGCCTCACCATGCTTTCTAACACCTGGGTACGTCCTTCCACCGATGTCACCCCCTCTCTGTGGCTCCCCTGGTGCTGCCATTTCGTAGGTCCGGGGCCCCCCACAAAGTGTGCAGTGGGCTGCCCCCAGCCACCACCAGCAGAACACAGTACCCACAGCCAGGCCAGGGCCTCAACACAGGCAGCTTCCCGCTGGCTCTTCCACCAGACAGTCTCTCCGAGCACAGACTGCTCCGCAATCTCCTTCCTGAGCCTGACCCTGCAGACGCTCTCCTTCCCGGCACAGTCTTCATGGAGGGTCCCAATTTGTCTTCCTCACACAAACATAATATTCTTCAGGCAAAAAATGCACTGGAGTCTTCCAAGAATAAGCAGCAAGAGCAGAGGGAAGGCCAAGCACGAATTCAATGCTGGAGCAGGAGGCGGAGCCTTCACAAGGCAGTGCTGTGTCTGACCCTGGCGGCAGGGGCAGGACACATGGGGCCGCAACACACACACAGGAAACTGGATGCTAGGGGGGTAAGAACTGCAGCCAAGTGATACGTTTTTGAGGAAAACTTCATATTCCACTAAAAAAGGTTTAAGGTAGAACATGAGTGTGACAAAACGTCCGATTTGCAAGGAGTCGGAGTGAGCGCGCTGTTGCTTGGCTCCCAGCACTAAAAGAACTCAAAAGAACAAAACAACCCCAACCCCAAAAAGGCAGACGCTCCATCCATCCACAATGTCTGCATAGCCACTGTCCACAGCACACATCTCACACAGGGAGGGGAGACACAGGGCTGACTCAGCAGGCCCGGGTTGGCCACAGCCTGCGCAGTGCCTCCCACCCAGCTGCGGGGAGGTGACCTGAGCCCCTGGGGGTACCCCGACGAAGGCCTTGGCTTACTCAAGAGCCCATCCCGGCAGACCGCCAGGCTCCATTAAAGAACAAGGCCTTGAGGAAACACACCTCCAGGAAATGTGAGGAAGCCGGCCATTTCTGTCCAGTAGAGGTTATTGACTGGGAGCAGTTCGCTCTCAGCGGTTACGTGGCAACGGAGATGCCTGTTGGTTACCACAGCTTGCAGAGGGCTGAGTGTGGAGGGAGCCGGCCACTGGCTATCCACTGGGCAGAGGTAAGAGACGGTACTGACCCCCTCACAGTGTACAGGACGGCCCCTACCAGAGAATGACTTGAGGACAAGCCTGTCGGTCATAAAGGCAATGAGACTCTTCAGCTTAGGGCCAATCTCACAAATCAGCAGATCTGCAGAAAATCTGTGGCTGTGGATCACTCAGTCCTCTTTATTTTCACCAACTTCTCTTCCTGAATTAAATGGAACACTCAGAGGCTACTTAAAAGTGACAGCAAACTTGCAGGACCCTCACCTCTCTCTCACCAAGAAACATGAGCCCACACAACAGGCTGTCACCAACCAGGATGCCACTAAACCTGTGTCCACCTCCCATGGCACAGGGCGCCCATCTCAGCTCACCTCTCTCTGTGTACCAATCAGGGTCTGGAGAACTTTTTGGCCATCGCTGTGGTTGACTGAGAAATGGCCCCCAAAAGATGCCCATGTGCGAGTCCCCAGAACCTATGAATGCTACCTCACATGGCAAAAGGGACTCTGGAAATGGGACTCAGTTCCAGATCTTGAAATGGGGAGATTATCCTGAGTTTTTCTGGGTGGGCCTGACGTCATCACAATAATCCTACAGCAAGGGATGTAGGCAGGTCAGGGACAGAGAGGTGGTAACAAGAGCAGAGGCCCCTGGGCTGCAAGCCCACATCCTTCTACCCAGTGTACTGAGGGCCACTCAGCACAGGAAAGCTTAACATCCTCTCAGGTGTACTGAGAATGCATGGCCCTGAGCCAGGAGACTCGGAGCCCTTCCGACCCCTTCTTCACGCTCACCCGTCACCTTCAGTCAGTCACACAGACCCGGGGTACCCACCTTTCAAAGAACACACACCTCTCCACACCCTAGGTCCCCCACATCTGCCCAGTGGCTGCTCCTTGCTCAGGTCACTGCAGCAGATCTTACTGGGTCCTGCCTCCTGTCCTTTACACCTTCTCCCAGGAAGCCACAGGGACTGCTACCCAGTGGAGCTCCTAAAGCACCCTCTTTTGAGAGCAGCTTCTCACTGCCCCAGATGGGAGTCGCCAGTCCTCAGTCTCCGGAAGTTCCTTCCCAGATCACCACCACCCATGGACTGCTGGTTCAGACAGAGCTGGGAAAATCCCAGGCTCTCCTCCGAGTTGCTCCTTTACTCTTACATTTCTGACCCTTCTGCTCAGCCAATGTGTGGTTTTTTCCCCCACCAAGCAATTTTCTGTGACACCACCAGGTGTCCCACTATTTAGCTCAATTAGCACCACCTACCTGGAGACAGCACGAAGGGCCCTGGGCCACCAGGACTGCCCCCACCTCATATACCCACCACAAGTAGTAGGTCCCCAGGTTACTCAACTGCATCTGACCTGGCTACACATCAGGGGTTCCCAGGACCTCCTCCCACTTGGGTCTGATTAATGAAAGGATATGATAAAGGATACAAATGAACAGCCAGATGAAGAGCCACCTGGGGAGAGGCCCGGGAGTGTCCCCAGCACAGGACTTGAGGGTGTCACCCTCCGGATGTGTGTGGCTGTGCTCACCAGCCTGCAAGCTCTCCCAGCCTCATACTCTTGGGGTTTTTATGGAGGCTTCCTTGTGTTAGGCATGATTAATTACTAACTCCATTTTTAGCACCTCTCCCTTCCTAGAGAAGTTGGGGGGACTGCACAGCCCAAGCTTTTAACTATGGCGTGGTCCTTCTGGTAACCAGCCCCCGCCCAGGAGCCCACCCAGACTAGCCTCATTAAAACAAGATGCTCCCAGTGCTCTTATTACTTAGGAATTTATAAGGATTTTAGGAGCCCTGTGCTAGGGACAGGATCAAAGACCAATATAATTTTTTCTATTATTTCAGACACTTGCTGCATTTCAGTCACATAAATATCTTTTTTTTATGTTTTTAATTTTCGTATCATTAATATAAAATTGCATGAGCAGCACTGTGATTACTAGATTCCCATTATCAAGTACCCCCCCGCATACCCCACAACAGTCGCTGTCCATCAGCGTAGTAAGATGTTATAGAGTCACTACTTGTCTTTTCTGTGCCATAGTGCCTTCCCATGACACCCCCACATTATGTGTGCTAATCGTAATGTCCCTTATTCCCCTTCTCCCTCCCTTCCCCCCCCATCCTCCCCAGTCCCTTTCCCTTCAGTATCTGTTAGTCCATTCTTGGGTTCTGTGAGTGCTGCTGTTTTGTTCCTTCAGTTTTTTCTTTGTTCTTATGCTCCACAAATGAGTGAAATCATATGGGTACTTGTCTTTCTCTGCCTGGCTTATTTCACTGAGCATAATACCCTCTAGGTCCATCCATGTTGTTGCAAATAGTTGGATTTGTTTTCTTCTTATGGCTGAACAGTATTCCATTGTGTATATGTACCACATCTTTTTCATCCATTCATCCACTGATGGACACTTAGGTTGCCTCCATTTCTTGGCTACTGTAAATAGTGCTGCAATAAACAGGGGTGCATATGTCTTTCTGAATCTGAGAAGTTGTTTTCTTTGGGTAAATTCCTAGGAGTGCAATTCCTGAGTCAAATGGTATTTCTATCACATAAATATCTTTTAATTCCCTGACCCCACAGTGCTCCCCCTCCAGTCACTGGTATGTGTTTTTCTACCTGACAACTACCCTTGTCCCTTTGCCAACTCCTCAGATCTCTGCTTCCATGCCAATTAGGAGCCATGCAAATGAAACTCAGAACTTCTGGTGAGAGAGCCCACTCTTGCAACACCAGGTAAGATACAAAAAGAAAACATGTAAGAGACACAGTAAGGATAATAAGCAGCAATGAAGTCTCCATTGAGCAGCAGGAAGTAAAGCAAAGCAGGTGTGTGGTCCTCCAGTTAAGGGCCTTCAGGGCCTACTCAGGAATCTGGCCTCAATTCAAAATCAGAGCCGCAGTAGTTCCCACCCTACTTGCCAAAAAATCTGCTGAGAAGTGCTGCCAGGGATGAGCAAGCTGCTTGTCTGGAGTATTAGTTTCCTGCAGGTACTGTGACAAACTGCGACAAGTGTGGTGGCTTAAAACAACATTATCCATTTCCTTATAGTTTTGGAGGCCAGGAGCTTTTCTGCTGACTACCATTTTATTTATTGCTTTCATCTCTTCACAATTTATCCTGAGAAATGGGTGAGCAGAGACTATAAAACCTCTAAAAGGGCATTCCTAATTAATGATTTTCTTTCTAAAAGTCACCAATAAATAAGAGCAAAGGAGTCCGATCAGTCAAGTCACAAATATGTGAATGAACACGTGGTAACAAGGGCTGCTGGGAAGGGGCTTCTGTTACAAAGGAAAGCAGCCGGGCAACGTACAAGAGCCTGGATCATCAAGACTATGAGTCCAGAAATCTCATCACTGAAAAGATCTAACAAGTTTTAAGGATAAACATGTTGATCACATGATAGTAAAAAAAAAGAGAGACACAGCCTAAGCTTTAGTGTGACCGCATTAAGACAGTGGGACAAAAGACTGCAGGGAGATGTAATAACCTTGATTACTCATGCCTACACCAGACACCACAGCAAAGATATAAAGCAAAAACTTAGTGAGCAAAAACACAGAAAAAGGTATCTAAAGCAAAAACATAGCAAAGACATAAAGGAAATATGAGAAAAACCACATGGGAAATTTCATCCAATATCTTAGAATCTGACTGATCAAGTAGACAAATTAGGATATTAAAGTTTGTTATGTAAACGTATCAAGCTGGGTCATGCACATAGGTAGTCATCTACACCCCTCTGTCTACAGACAGAAATGTTTGCACTGCACAGGGAAACCAACAGTGCTCCCCCCATTGTGCGGATGAGGAAACCAAGGCAGGAAACGCTGAGTAAAGCTTGACCAAGGCCTTCTCGATGTGGAGTACAAAGCCAAGAGCTCAGAAGCCCAGGGCCAAGCGCTGCCCTCCCAGCTCCCGGCCCTCTGGCTGGTACACCCGTGCTCTCTTTCTCAGCATCCGGTGGCCAGCCTGTCGGCCACTCTCACGTGGGGGTTCTGCACAATCTGCCCATGCCTCCAGCCCCCGCTCCGCCCGCCCTGCTGGTTTCTGACTCCTGAGTGTCATGACATCCACCCCATCTCCGCCCCAACAGCATTAAGTCCACGCTCTCGCCCACCTTCCCACCCCTCCCACCCTTATCCTCTCTGTGCAAATTAACCTGCCTCTTAATGCTCTCCAACCAGTGACCCGGACACCTTCACCTTCCAGCACACCGGTTCCTCTGAGCCAGCAGCCTCCCAGCTGGCTCCCTTCAACTTCTCAGGGGAGAGGTTTCCCCTCTGGTAAAGGAACTCCCGCGTCCCAGTGCAGACCTCCCACCCTCAAGTGCCCTGCCCTTAGCCTCAAGCACCTGCTCCTCCCAGCTGAGCCCCGAATAGTGACCCAAACTCCCAGTTTTCCCCTCCTCAGCCTATCCACTCACCCCTCAATACACACAAATCTACACCATACCCAAGAAGGCTGCCCGAGGCTCTATACGCTGCTATCCCACTCTGACACAACTGCCACCCCAGGCCGACGGCTTGATCGTCTCCTTCCGGTCCAAAGGCATCCAAGGGAAAGGGCTGGGAAAGCCACTCTGCAGCCAGACCGCCTGCGGTCCAAGTCCCACCCCCACCATTTGCCTCTATAGGACCCTGCACAGGCCACCTTAGCCTCTTGAGGCCTCAGTTTCCTCATCTGTAGACATCTGGGAGAATAGCAGACCCTGCCTCATGGTGCCTTTAACTCTGAGAGGAAATTCCTGGGCAAAATACCTCTAAGGGACTCAAAGGGAGAAATAAAGTTTAAAACCCGTTTATTGCTTACAAACTGCAGTCTGGGACCATTTCTCTTTCCTGCTCCAAGAGAAGCAAGCCTAACCTCTCAGGTTCAAATAAACCCTTGATCGCCCAGGTTAACTACCCATTGACATGGAGATGGATACTATCTCCACCCCTGGGGAATGCCTGTTGATATGCAGATGCACTAAAGCCAGGCGATATATTCTGGAAATACTACAATTTTACCCACAGTGCCAGTGCGAGAGTAAATAAGTTGCATTTATAGAGCTTAACACCGTGCTGACACACAATAGGGACAGTGGATTTAGTCATATCGATTATGCTTGGACATAAAACACTCTTCCATCCCTCATACTGGACCTGGGAGGGGGCCTGTTTGGCAGGGGTCCCTCTGGCTGGAGGGCAGGACATCGGCTGCCTTTTCTCCTTCCTTTTCCAGTATTCTCTTCCCCCGCCTGTGAGGTGGGATCTCAGGTGCTGCCCCGGCTTCACGTCCGGCCCAGAGAGCCCCCCAGGCTCCCTCCCACTGCCACATCCAGCAGGGACTCCACCTCGAGGGAGCTGAGTGACCAGGAACTCCTTACCTTTCCTGCACCGTGATCTCCTCCCTGGCTCCTCACTAGAGATGGAAACTCAAAGCACGGCTCAGCTTCCACTCCTTGGTACGCCCTCTCGCACTGAGTTACCTCCACAGCTAGATGCTTCTACTTCCTGAGGCTCTGTGAAATCCAACCCTAGGCCTTCAGCACAGGACAGCCTTCCTGCTCTCCAACCTCTTCTCTTCCCGAGCCCCTGACCTGGGGCATCAGTGTACACAGCCAATGGAGACCCCCAACATGCTGGACCCAGACTGTGCCGATGCTGTTTACTCTGCCTGGACAGCCCCTAATTCTTCGTTCTCTTGGAAAACATACGCTTTTTCCACAGACCGAGTTCACAGTTCACTCACCAGTGGGAGAAGTCATGTCGGTGTTCTGGGGCTGGGGTGGCATCTGGGGCGCTTGGACTTTGCCAGAAAGCTCTGGGCTACCGCCTCCCGCAGAGGGCTCTCCCTGGGGGTGGGCGCCGTGATAGAACTGAGAGAGAGGGGCGACGTGAGGCGGGCCCGGGCGGGCAGCCGCGGACCCCGTGCGCCGGCCTGCAACCCTCCACACCAGCTGGCCACTCACAAGATGCTGCCCTCGACCCAGGGCCTCCCTTACGGCTGGACAGCTTCAACGAAACCAGCACCTGCCCGGACCTCAAATAAGGCCAGACCCCGCCGGGCTCTGCTGCAGGAACGGCCCTGACCAGACCGGCTCCCTCCCGGTTTCCCCCGCCGCAGGAACGTGAATCCCACAGGCCCCTGCCCGCCGGCAGGAGAAACCCCGCCCAGCCTCCCTCCCTGCCTCCGCGCAGCCCTGATCTCTTCTGCAGGGACCGGCCCCGTCCTCCAACCCATTCCGCTCGCCTCGGATTCGAGGCGTCGCGTCCCGGAGGCTGACGTCACGGCGCGCGCGGGGCAATGGCGGCGCTTCCGGTGGGCGGAGGAAGTGCGCGCACCCGGGGCAGTGAACTACAACTCCCGCGAGGCAGCGCGGCGGCAGCGGCCGTTTCTTTGGGCGCCAGCGGTATGAGCCTTGGGGTTGGCGGGTCATGGCTGTTCCCCTTTTGCAGCTGCCCGTTTTGCTGTAGAGTTGCTTTCCTGAGGCTCTGCTCCTTGGCGCGCGTCTGCCCTTGGGACGGGGACCGTGGCCTTAGGCAGAGTAGGGTCTAACCTCGGGAAAAAACAAAGCAAGATGATCCGCTGTGGGATTTGCTCTGGCGTGCTGGGGGGGCCCAGCTTATTTTTTTTACTTTACCCAGGTGCTGCTTTTCCTCCTCCAGCCCTAATCGAGTGATTTGCAACCTGGGCAATTTAGCAAGCAAGCCCAAAACAACTTGGTAAAAACAGGAAGGATTCCATCTTGGAGATAAAATTGCATTTGAAAACCCAATTCCTTAAAAAGTAAGTCTCTTAACATACTCTTTAACAGACAATAACAGCTCACCTCGGGGCAAAGCAGGCGGTCTAGATTGTTATGTCCCCAGACCAGGAAGCTGCTATCCGGGAGGAAATCAGAGCAGTAAAGTTCTTGTAAATAACCCAGAAGACTCATAAGAAAATGTTTCTTCAAAGATAAACATTTCGGGACCACCTAGCAGGTCTGCATCCCTAGTCCTTTGTCTCTCAACCGCCTATAAATCCCCTAGACACCGCACCACCCCAGGCCTCTCTTGTCACCTCGTGGCGTGAGCAGGGAGCTCTGTCCTCTCGTTTTATCTCTAAAAAAAGCCTCTGCCTGGCTCTCCTACCTTGAATGTTTGCGAAGTTCATTCTTTGGCTCCTCGAACAGGAACCCTGTATGGGTAAAATTGTAATATTTCCAGAATATCTTTCCTGCCCCTACTGCATCTGCATCCTCAGGGGTGGAGAGAAGTGTGGCTTTGGTGCATTCGCGTATCAGTAGGCCCTGGGATCTCTTCTCCCTGGGCTTACACCCTGGCATCGTCCTGGGCTCAGATTCTCCTCATCTGGCATCCAAGGCCTTCACGCCAGACTGTGGGCATCTGCAACCAGCGGCATGGGCGGAATCTGTGTCGGAACTGTGCTGGCCTTGTCCGTTCCTCTTGGGCCTGCCCTGAGCCTCGATCTGCGTGGAAGTAAACGAAGACCGCCTGGGCCGGACAGGGACGGCCTATTGCTCAGCGCCCGCGGGGGCAAGACCGGTGCGCTTCGCAGAGCTTAAGAGGCAGGCAGGCAGGGGAGAAGGAGGGTTGCTTGGTGACAAAACAGGAAAGGCGTCCGCTGTGCCTGGGTCGCCCTTTGTCAGGTACGGAAGTGGAAGTCCTGCTAACTGGAGGCGGGTCATCCTGTGTGATTGCTTAGGGAAGCGCATCAACTTTCACCAAGGGGTCCTAAATTAAAACATTAGGCAGAAAAATAGATAGGAGCGGGCTGGAAAGAGAAGGAGGCCAGGAAAGCCCACCAAAAAGACCAAGTTAATCAGTTTAAGCTCAAAAACCAGGAGCACTTGGTCTGAAATGTTGGAATATTCCCCAGATAAAGGAGGGTACCTCAGTGTAAATCCGGGGAGAGGAAATCCTGGGGCAGAAAAAACCTCTAAAATCAAAATCAGTCAAGGGAGAAACAAAGTTTAAAATCTGTTTATGGCTTGCAAACTAGTCCGTGGCCATTTCTCTTTCGGGCTCTGGCAAAAGCAAAACCAGCCCTCCCCGTCACCCCTCAGGTACAGATAAGCTCTCACTTGCCCAGGTAATTACCCGCTGACATGGAGATAAACTTCTCTCCACCCCTGGGGATATGCAAATGCACCAAAGCCCGGCGAGATATTCTGGAAATGTTACAGTTTTACCCATACTCAGCATAGCCCATGTCTTTATTAATCATTCAGACCCAGCTTAATTTTTAAGTTTACCTATATGCTGTTTTTTTCCTCCTTCAGCCCTAATCAAGTAGTTTGTAACCTAGGCAACTAATTTAGCATGCAGGCCCAGCCTTAAACAACATAGTAAAAGGCAGGAAGTTAAGAAGTAAGATTCTTAGTTTACTCTTTAGCAAACAGACAATAACTCAGCCCACCTTGAGGGCTGGGCAGGCAGTCTTGCTGCCCCCCAGACCAAGATGTGGGTATCCCAGGGAGAAATCAGAGCCGGAAGTTCCTTGTGTTAATTCCCCTTCAAAGACCACTTAACAAGTCTGCACCCCCAGCCCTTAGTCACATTCCTAAAGAACCCTTAAAAGGGGGAACCCCCAGCATTTCAGCACACCCCTCTCTCTGAGGTTATCCACAATTTCTAAGTGTGTAACCTTTTAATCTTAAACTTTCACTCTCCAACCTTTCAGGGCGCCTCTCCTTGCTGATGTGGCCGGTACTTTTTCTCTCTTTAAATAAAACTTCTACCCTGCTTCACTACTGTGTCTCTGCCCTTCAATTCTTTGTCACGGCAGAGACAAGGACTGAGGAAAATACACGATGCTTCCCCAACAGAACAAGGGCAAAAAATAGGAAGCTCACAGTTAGTGATCAAGTCCCGACTGAAAGGGATACAAACCCAACAGTCCAAGCAGGTTTATCGCTGCACGTGGGAGGGACCCCTCTGTTCTGGCCAGAAGAACAAAGAAGGCGTCTCTGACAGGCTAAGAGGCTTTTTATGGATAGGTTTTTTGGTGGGCTCTTTGAGGGGAGGGGTCAGGGGAAAGGTGGGCTTGTGGCCTGCTGACGTGTCCTCTGGAGGATGCTTGCAGCCTCAGTAAGATGAAACATGGGTCTCTCTGTGATGGTGGGTGGACCTGTTCAAAAAAGGCAGTACACCCGTCTGGATTCTATCACTGACTGTTTGGGGCCTGTTGCTTCAGAGGTTGAGGCTCAGAATTCTATTATATATGGCCTGGCCGTTGTTGTATTTTCAGTCTCACTGCACTGTTGGGCCCTGAAACCCACCACCTGCTGACCCTCCCTGGCTTTTCCTGGAGGGGGACCACAGGAAACCTTCGAGGCCAGCTCAGCTCGACCTCAGGCGATCTGAGCTCCTGGACTGTGTCGTCATGTCTGGAGTGCTCCCGTGACCAGCCTTCCTTGCCTTGACCCTCCTGGGGCTGACCTTGTTGGTCGCTTTCCCGACCGCCATCCCCTTCTTACCTGTGTACATCATAATTGCTGACATGACCCTGCAATCTGTAGATTCTTCCAGCAGAGCCTGGAATTGAACTTCCAAAGGGAGAGTCTTGATGGAATAGTCTCTTGCTCCTGTGACTGCATTCTGGCCAAGAAGAAATGACAAGTCCGCTGGGGGCTTCTGGGACAGTTTCTTCTCAAAAAAAAAAAAAAGGACACAAAACACTAGTGTGTACCGTTTTCTTGCCTCTGGGCAGTATTGTCTGCATGTAATGTGCAGAACAGTACCAGCAGGCCAGCGCCACAAGGAAGCCAGCCCAAGACGCAAAGTCACATGCTGAGAATGGCAGAGCAGAAAGGTGGGAAGAATCGCAGTCAACAACGTGGCCATTTTTGAGTCATAGATCAACTGATACTGTGTGTGCCCACTTTGAGGCTTTCTTTATGATAGAACAAATGACCTTCTTGTTTTTATTATGGAAAATGTTAACTATAACAAGAGTAAAGTGTGATGAAATCCTATGTTCCTCTAGTGCATTATTCAAGTTACATTTAGCTTACATCAAGATGAGACAGGGACCACAGGTGTAGTCAGAGTAGGGTGAGGGCCTCCGGAGAAAGCAAGGCAGGATAATTACAGTCAGAGCAACATAACAACATGCAAGGAAATCCCCTACCAAAACTCTGTGCTGAACATTAAGCCCTGGAGTCATTCTTCAGTGAGATCAGTTAATACTCACCAGATAAAGGAAAGAAACCCATGTTTTTTTACGCTAACCATTTGTAATCATGCGTAATGTTAGGCTGGAGGAAGGAAAAACAAGGACATACAAACAGAACAGAGAGATAAAAGGAGAACAGACCAGACCCCAAGGTCCGTGCCTTATATGGAAAGGGGGCAGCTCTCCCCGAATTCCATCCTGATGTGCCAACTGGGACCCGGATGTCAGCCTCCTCCCTCTTGGAAGGAAAAAATGTTTCTAGTTGTCTATTATGTCGCCTTTAGCCAATCATACCTCTCCACGCCCCCCTAGGATGCTTGCCCGCCCCTCCCCCTCCTAACCCCTTGTAAGCCCCGCCTCCCTGACCCGGCCCGGCTCCCCGGCCTCCATTCACGGAGAGCGTGAACCGCGCCTGAGGCTGCGCTCAAGTGAAGTGCCTGGCGCTTTGTTGCCGCTTGTCACCTGCTTATTTCGGTTAGAATTTATTTTACACATAAGATTCACTTTTAAGTTACTAAAAATAAGAATTTAAAAACAGTAACTTCTCTACTTAGAAATGGGGGTCAGGAATCTTTCTGTAGTAGGAGAAAAATTATCGTATGTTTATATACATCTCTCATTTTATCTTCACAGTGACACTGTTCAAAGGAGCTGTTATTATGATCTCTATTTTACTAGTAAGGAAACAGTCTGAGGGAGGTCACAATTTGTTCAAGATTACCCAGCAAATAAATGATTTGAAATTGGAAGAAAAAAATTTTCTTTAGTATGCTAAAAGGCCCAGGCCTATGTGCTGCTTTTCCTCCTTCAGACCTGATGAGGTGATTTGCAAACTGGGCAATTAATTTAGCAAGTAAGCCCAGGCATAAACAACATAGTAAAATGCAGGAAGGATTCCGTCTTAAACATAAGATTGCATTTTAATACCCAAGTTAAGAAGTGAGATTCTTAACTTACTCTTTAGCAAACAATAGCTCAGCCCACCTTGGGGGCTGGGCAGGTGACCTTGTTTGATAACCTCCCAGACCAAGGCACCCGTATCTCAGGGAGAAATCAGAGCAGTAAATTTATTGCATTAGGTTAGTTTTAAATATTCGGGGACTACTTTGCAAGTCCACACCCCTAAGCCCTTAATCTCATCCCCAAAAGTCCTCAACTGCCTATAAGACCCCTAGACAACATACAACTACCGGCTCCCCTGTCCCCTCCTGGCGCGAGCCGGGAGCTCGGTCCTCTCACTGTCTCTCAATAAAAGCCTCTCCCTGGCTCTCCTACCTTGACTGTTTGCTAAGTTCATTCTTCAACTCCATGAACAAGAACCCCAACATCAAAGATACATACTCAAGTCAATATACTGCTTTTTAAATAGAATCTTATCGGAACGTGCTTCCAGCCAGCACTAGATTATTTGGGAGCAAATCCCACATCATTTCACCCATAAATACCTAAGATTTTATCTGTAAAAGGTAATTTTTTCCACAATAGGAAAATCCATAAAGTGGCTGCCTTCAGCTGGGAGTTTGAGGAAAATGTGAGTGACTGGTATATAGATGCTGGTTTCTTTAGGGAGTGACAAAAGTGCTCTAAAATTGACTGTTATGATGGTCATTAAAATAATGAATATATTAAAAACTATTGTACATTTAAGTGCATGAATTGTATATCATGTCTTAATAAAGCTGCTTGAAAATCATTACATAAGGTTACCAATAACTAATAGAAAAAAAATACAGGGAAAAAAAGATGACTTTTAAATGCCTAAGCACAAAATCATGAAAGACACTGAAAAATATTAGCAATAACATAAAATGCTGTATTTAGATTACCTCCTAATTATGTCAAACTTTTTAATACATTTAGCTTATTCAAGTTAGGATCTGAATAAATTTCCATTTATTTATTGAAACCAGGTAATTTTTTCCCCATAGGATTGACCACATTTTGGATTTGGTGACGGTATCCTCAGGGTGTCATTTCTCTTCCCCTTGTCTTTCCTGTAGACAGGTAGCTGGATGTAGAGGCGCAATTAGATTCACGTCTGGATGTTCGACAGCCCTTCACAGGTGGTGTTCGTGTTTCCTGTTGCAGCCTATCAGAAGGTGCGTAATGTCTGGGGCACTGTGATGTTTATTTTGATTAAGTGTTGACAGCCTGATCCGCCTATCACAGAGTTCTCCATTTTTCAGAAGGTGGTTTCAGCAATCATTGATGATCATCACCTATACCCACTGTTTTATTAGGAGTTACAAAATGGAGATTTTCTATTTATATCATTACTTCTGCATCTATTTGCTAGAATTCTTCCAGAAGGAAAAACTTTCCCTTACCAGTTTTTGGTTACCTTGGGGTAAAGTTTGTTCAGGAGAAGCTGGATAAATTCTTCATACATGCTAAGCATCCTTAAAAAGTTGCCACTATGTTACATATATGGATTTTTAACATAGTCTGTGTATTTTAATCTCTTGCAGTGAATAATTTGATGCTCCAGTTGTCCACAGTTTGGCCAGGAACAGCTCTTTCAAGCCAACGCCTGTGTGTTTTTGACATGACCCAGTAGCTTTTGCTAGCTTCTTTGCTTTCTAGTCTGAGACGCTGCAAAGTTCACTCTCTACATTTTCTGACCCAGTCCTAGAATTGACTGTTTCTCTGAGCCCTAGTTCTTTTTAGTGGGAAGTATGTTTTGGAGACTGATAGAATCTGGATCTGAGGATCACCTTTCGAATAAGCCCACCCACCATCACAGAGAGACCTCGGTGTCATCTTACCTGGGCTACAAGCATTCTCCAGAGGACACATCAGCAAGCCACAAGCCCACCTTTTCCAACCCCTCCCCTCAAAAAGCCTGCCGAAAACTCTGGCCATAAAAAGCCTCTTGACCTGTTAGAGACCCCTTTTTCCTTTGTTCTGCTGGCCAGAACAGAGGGCTCCCTCTCAGGTTTAGCAATAAACCTGCTTGTGTTATGGAGTTCATGTCCCCTCCTTTCCTTTCAGAGACCACAATCTGGGTGTGAGGTGGACTCTTCGCCCCCAGGGTAGTTACTGTTATAAACCTCTTCAGTGGACAGAGTTGGGACATGTATACATGTGTTCTGCCCTCCACATCCTCACCAGCATTTGGTGGTGCCAGCCTTCTGGATTTTGTCCACTCTAATGGGCGTGCAGTGGTTTTGCATCATTTTAATTTGCAGCTCCCTAATGAGGGAATGATGTGGAGCATCTTCATATGCCTATTTGGCATCTGCATACCTTCTTTGCTGAAGTGTCTGTTCAGATCTTCTATCCATTTTCACTCAAGCAAGCAGCCCGCCTATTATCATTGCCATCTTGCCTGAGCGTCACCCACCCCCTGGGGTGGTTCTGTTTCATAGGCTCTGTGCTTCTGATTTCTTAGTCCATTCTTTTACTGGTCTCAGGGGGCCCCACAAATGAGAAACTGTTCTCCTCTGTGCACTCACTGGGGGTCAGGTCTAGTCAGTAGAACATCCTCAGTGGTGGGAATCCTCCACGGTGCTGAAAGGCAGAGAAACCTCTTAGCTTTGAGCCCATGTCACAGAAGACGCGCTGTCAGCCTATTCCTTAGGCCTGGGGCCCCCGATATGCCTCAGTGAGACCTCGTTTCTCTCTGGTCTCCTCGTACCCTCCTGGCCTCCAGAGCAAGGCAGCCCTCAGCTGACAACTGTACAACAAAAACAATCAGGTTTTGATATGTTGTAGTGGGATTTTAAGAACCTAAATACCAGTAATTTTTAAGGGGGCAGCTCTCCCCGAATTCCATCCTGATGTGCCAACTGGGACCCGGATGTCAGCCTCCTCCCTCTTGGAAGGAAAAAATGTTTCTAGTTGTCTATTATGTCGCCTTTAGCCAATCATACCTCTCCACGCCCCCCTAGGATGCTTGCCCGCCCCTCCCCCTCCTAACCCCTTGTAAGCCCCGCCTCCCTGACCCGGCCCGGCTCCCCGGCCTCCATTCACGGAGAGCGTGAACCGCGCCTGAGGCTGCGCTCAAGTGAAGTGCCTGGCGCTTTGTTGCCGCTTGTCACCTGCTTATTTCGGTTAGAATTTATTTTACACATAAGATTCACTTTTAAGTTACTAAAAATAAGAATTTAAAAACAGTAACTTCTCTACTTAGAAATGGGGGTCAGGAATCTTTCTGTAGTAGGAGAAAAATTATCGTATGTTTATATACATCTCTCATTTTATCTTCACAGTGACACTGTTCAAAGGAGCTGTTATTATGATCTCTATTTTACTAGTAAGGAAACAGTCTGAGGGAGGTCACAATTTGTTCAAGATTACCCAGCAAATAAATGATTTGAAATTGGAAGAAAAAAATTTTCTTTAGTATGCTAAAAGGCCCAGGCCTATGTGCTGCTTTTCCTCCTTCAGACCTGATGAGGTGATTTGCAAACTGGGCAATTAATTTAGCAAGTAAGCCCAGGCATAAACAACATAGTAAAATGCAGGAAGGATTCCGTCTTAAACATAAGATTGCATTTTAATACCCAAGTTAAGAAGTGAGATTCTTAACTTACTCTTTAGCAAACAATAGCTCAGCCCACCTTGGGGGCTGGGCAGGTGACCTTGTTTGATAACCTCCCAGACCAAGGCACCCGTATCTCAGGGAGAAATCAGAGCAGTAAATTTATTGCATTAGGTTAGTTTTAAATATTCGGGGACTACTTTGCAAGTCCACACCCCTAAGCCCTTAATCTCATCCCCAAAAGTCCTCAACTGCCTATAAGACCCCTAGACAACATACAACTACAGGCTCCCCTGTCCCCTCCTGGCGCGAGCCGGGAGCTCGGTCCTCTCACTGTCTCTCAATAAAAGCCTCTCCCTGGCTCTCCTACCTTGACTGTTTGCTAAGTTCATTCTTCAACTCCATGAACAAGAACCCCAACATCAAAGATACATACTCAAGTCAATATACTGCTTTTTAAATAGAATCTTATCGGAACGTGCTTCCAGCCAGCACTAGATTATTTGGGAGCAAATCCCACATCATTTCACCCATAAATACCTAAGATTTTATCTGTAAAAGGTAATTTTTTCCACAATAGGAAAATCCATAAAGTGGCTGCCTTCAGCTGGGAGTTTGAGGAAAATGTGAGTGACTGGTATATAGATGCTGGTTTCTTTAGGGAGTGACAAAAGTGCTCTAAAATTGACTGTTATGATGGTCATTAAAATAATGAATATATTAAAAACTATTGTACATTTAAGTGCATGAATTGTATATCATGTCTTAATAAAGCTGCTTGAAAATCATTACATAAGGTTACCAATAACTAATAGAAAAAAAATACAGGGAAAAAAAGATGACTTTTAAATGCCTAAGCACAAAATCATGAAAGACACTGAAAAATATTAGCAATAACATAAAATGCTGTATTTAGATTACCTCCTAATTATGTCAAACTTTTTAATACATTTAGCTTATTCAAGTTAGGATCTGAATAAATTTCCATTTATTTATTGAAACCAGGTAATTTTTTCCCCATAGGATTGACCACATTTTGGATTTGGTGACGGTATCCTCAGGGTGTCATTTCTCTTCCCCTTGTCTTTCCTGTAGACAGGTAGCTGGATGTAGAGGCGCAATTAGATTCACGTCTGGATGTTCGACAGCCCTTCACAGGTGGTGTTCGTGTTTCCTGTTGCAGCCTATCAGAAGGTGCGTAATGTCTGGGGCACTGTGATGTTTATTTTGATTAAGTGTTGACAGCCTGATCCGCCTATCACAGAGTTCTCCATTTTTCAGAAGGTGGTTTCAGCAATCATTGATGATCATCACCTATACCCACTGTTTTATTAGGAGTTACAAAATGGAGATTTTCTATTTATATCATTACTTCTGCATCTATTTGCTAGAATTCTTCCAGAAGGAAAAACTTTCCCTTACCAGTTTTTGGTTACCTTGGGGTAAAGTTTGTTCAGGAGAAGCTGGATAAATTCTTCATACATGCTAAGCATCCTTAAAAAGTTGCCACTATGTTACATATATGGATTTTTAACATAGTCTGTGTATTTTAATCTCTTGCAGTGAATAATTTGATGCTCCAGTTGTCCACAGTTTGGCCAGGAACAGCTCTTTCAAGCCAACGCCTGTGTGTTTTTGACATGACCCAGTAGCTTTTGCTAGCTTCTTTGCTTTCTAGTCTGAGACGCTGCAAAGTTCACTCTCTACATTTTCTGACCCAGTCCTAGAATTGACTGTTTCTCTGAGCCCTAGTTCTTTTTAGTGGGAAGTATGTTTTGGAGACTGATAGAATCTGGATCTGAGGATCACCTTTCGAATAAGCCCACCCACCATCACAGAGAGACCTCGGTGTCATCTTACCTGGGCTACAAGCATTCTCCAGAGGACACATCAGCAAGCCACAAGCCCACCTTTTCCAACCCCTCCCCTCAAAAAGCCTGCCGAAAACTCTGGCCATAAAAAGCCTCTTGACCTGTTAGAGACCCCTTTTTCCTTTGTTCTGCTGGCCAGAACAGAGGGCTCCCTCTCAGGTTTAGCAATAAACCTGCTTGTGTTATGGAGTTCATGTCCCCTCCTTTCCTTTCAGAGACCACAATCTGGGTGTGAGGTGGACTCTTCGCCCCCAGGGTAGTTACTGTTATAAACCTCTTCAGTGGACAGAGTTGGGACATGTATACATGTGTTCTGCCCTCCACATCCTCACCAGCATTTGGTGGTGCCAGCCTTCTGGATTTTGTCCACTCTAATGGGCGTGCAGTGGTTTTGCATCATTTTAATTTGCAGCTCCCTAATGAGGGAATGATGTGGAGCATCTTCATATGCCTATTTGGCATCTGCATACCTTCTTTGCTGAAGTGTCTGTTCAGATCTTCTATCCATTTTCACTCAAGCAAGCAGCCCGCCTATTATCATTGCCATCTTGCCTGAGCGTCACCCACCCCCTGGGGTGGTTCTGTTTCATAGGCTCTGTGCTTCTGATTTCTTAGTCCATTCTTTTACTGGTCTCAGGGGGCCCCACAAATGAGAAACTGTTCTCCTCTGTGCACTCACTGGGGGTCAGGTCTAGTCAGTAGAACATCCTCAGTGGTGGGAATCCTCCACGGTGCTGAAAGGCAGAGAAACCTCTTAGCTTTGAGCCCATGTCACAGAAGACGCGCTGTCAGCCTATTCCTTAGGCCTGGGGCCCCCGATGTGCCTCAGTGAGACCTCGTTTCTCTCTGGTCTCCTCGTACCCTCCTGGCCTCCAGAGCAAGGCAGCCCTCAGCTGACAACTGTACAACAAAAACAATCAGGTTTTGATATGTTGTAGTGGGATTTTAAGAACCTAAATACCAGTAATTTTTATTGTTACATCCCTTTTTTATTTAAAAAACCTGTTGCCTCAACACTTCACATCTTGGATGTACCCCGGCATACTCACCTAAAGAGGGCTCCCATCACATCTCTTTCAAAATCATGCCAAGTCATTTCACTATAATTCTAATTCTTCTGCAGTGAGGTTGACCATCAGGTTCTTTTGTCCGACTTACCTCTAACGTCGGCGCCCTCCTCACCTCCTTCCAGAATCCCTGTGAAGAAAGAATCATCCAAGAAAGTGAGTGTCAAGGAAGACAGGAAGGAGCTGCAGTGGGGAATGAGGGACGGGAAGAAGAGGGCGGAGGGCTGCCCAGTGTCAGGCTCAGCTGCCCTGGGAGCCAGAGCCCTTCCCTTGCCCGCGGCCACGTCGCCATCTTCCCTCCAGAGCTAGATGCCCGACCCAGAACGCCCCAGGAGTCACTTACTTTAACTTGGGCTTTCTTCCTCAGTCTTTCTACATGGCAAGGCTTGAGAAGGAAAAACAGAG